GAAGCAAGATGTTAAGCAAGATGTTTTTTTTTCTTTTTTTTTCTTTTTCTTTTTCTTTTTCTTTTTCTTTTTCTTTTTCTTTTTCTTTCGTATTTATTTTTTCGTTAAATAATACAATCAAACTCCATTTCTTGATTAGAGTGTGTCAGCCATCTTTGCAAAGGGTGAGGAGGAAGGTAAACTGCGCACGCATACAAATTCGACAATCGCACTGACAATTGAAGGTAAAGGGGCTATGCCAATCTTCTGTGTCTTCCCCCTCCGCCCCCCCCACCGAATGGAACAACTGTGATGCCCTGAACCACATTTGTCTCCTCCTGTGACCATCTGATATGACTGACAGCACCTCCTTTTTGTCTCTTTTTTTTTTTTTTTTTTTTAGTGCACTGTAGTTGGAGAAGGCTGATATTACGTATTATCAACTCTTTTCTCACCAGTTAGACAAACATTTCTATTTATACCGTTTTTACAAATTCAAATAATTTATTACCATTGTTTTCTCAAGTTCGTTGAACTTGGTCGAATCATGAAGGTAGTCTCTTATTATGGTGTTGGATCGACAGTCCGTATGTTTTTTTGAAACTTCTTTTCTTTTGTTTTCAAACTTGCAACAACGTTCTTTAGTATCTTTACATTGTTTACAATTAGTTATTTTGCAACTTATTTGCTCTTCTTTTCTCTTTTTCTTTTTTTTTCCCTTTTTTTTTTTTCTGTTTTTGGATGATGGATGTGCCACAGGGGAATAACTTAGGCTCGATGGAAAGCCAAGTCGATAATCCGCTTCTGAGAGCACTAAGTGAAGGTTTGGCTGCCAACACGTCTTTAGAGGTATAGTAGGCCCCTCAAGCCGCATTCCGTCTCCAGTTCCATGCTCACCTCCACCTTTCTCCCTGCCTTTCCCTCCCCCCCAAAAAAAATTACATATTCACGTCACCAGAGAAACGAAGAAATAAAAAGGATCCGCTGCAGTCTGTGGACCTAAACCAGTGCTAGCCTACTTGCTGCTGCGTCTCTTCACATGGGATTGTGTTGATATCTACAAAGCTAGTCCACCGAGGGTCTAAAGATGTCAAATTTCCACCAACTATACATGAAAATAGCCGTTGAGTTTTTCAGTTCTGGTTCTGGCTCCGTTTCTGTTTGTTGTTCTGGTTCTGGGGGCAGGGAGGTGAGGGGGCAAAGATACCTGCACCGTGCACACCAAACAGGTAAGTACACAGTCACACGAGATCGACAAACAGCAGTAGAAGACCCGCGTAGTGGGATGTCAAATAGAAAGTATTAACATCATATATGTCCCATCGCTTCTCCATCCCACCTTCCTTGTGTTTCTGTTTCTGGTTCTGTTTCTGTTTCTGGTTCTTTGTCTGGCTCTGGTCCTAGTTCAGGGTCTAGAAAGAAAGCAGAACGAACAGCATACACACGAGCACACAGATGTACACGGACATGGCTGCCGAGAGCACCACTTAACTCGAAACTTGAAAATGTGAACCACCGTCTTTCCACACGCCCAAGAACACCCTTTCTCTGGTTCTGGTTGTGGCTCTGGTTCTGGCTCAGGTCCTGGTCTCTGGTTTCTGGTTCTGGTTCTGGTTCTGGTTCCTGAAAATACACGTTGTCAGTTCTGGTTCTGGGTCTTGGTGGTTCTGGCTCTGGTCCTGGTCTCTGGTTTCTGGTTCTGGTTCTTGAAAATAAGCGTTTTCAGTTCTGGTTCTGGTGCTTGGTTTGGCTCTGGGGTTGGTTCATCGATGCATAAAATTAACCAGTCTCCCAGATCCGGTTCTTCCCTACGTGAAAATTATCGCTTTCTGGTTGCAGTTCTGGTTCTGGTTCTTCTGTACATAGGAGTAACCGTCGAGTTTTCCAGTTCTGGTTATGGTTCGGGTTTTCTCTACATCAAAATAACCGGTTTTTTGGTTCTGGTGTGGGTCCGGGTTGTGGTTGTGGCTCTTCTGTACATAAAATGTAACTGGTTGGGTTCTGGTTCTGGTTCTTGTGTAATGTCTCTCGGTTTCTGGTCTGGGTGGTGTACTACTCACTTCATACCGACAAACTTCGGGCCGCTCTGCACCACTCGCCAAATCTGCAAAATGACGGTTGTATGTATCTTCCCTTTAAAACTGGAATGATTCACGTGATTTTTCACATTGTAGTTAGTGAAGTAACGTCCTGTGCGTCCATTCCCAATCTTATTTTCCCGCTTTCGGTCTTACCACCCTACCCCTCACTTCTCCCTCCCTTTAATGATATTCTCGTACTCTACCACCCTGCAGTCGTACCATGCATCTGACACCTCATCCTCAGCGAAGTTTTTTTTTTTTTTTTTTTTTTTTTTTTTAAGAACTGCCAGTGGGCAACAGTTTGTTCTTACTATTCCTGACAACAGAGCAGCAAAAGAGGGAAAAAAAAACACACTCTCGCACCTCGTCTACACATTAAGATCGTCAGTTGTTCATATTTCGATTGTTGGTGGGTTTTTGAATCTTTTGATGTTTGGACTTTGAACTCTCCTGCATGTACTTGATCACGTTTTTTGCAATATTCATCCCCTCCCCCAAGTTGTACTGTGCATTGGATATATGCCCCTTAGTCTCCTACTGATTACCTTGTACCGGTCTCAACCCCCACCCCCCCTGCCTCCATCTCCTCCTTTCTATAGTTCTCAAACCCTGGCCTCCTTCCTCCCCCTGTCAAGAGACAGGAAAACCCAGAAAGTGTTGTCTTCAACTGTAACCAGGAGACTTTGCCGGGCGAAGCAAAAAAAAAGGGGAAAAAAAATGAAAAAGAAGGGAAACCTGCAGGGAAAGGGATAGAAAGGGAATCCCAGGAGACCATGGGTTGATGTTTCCGTCTAACTACAAAACAAAAAAGAAAAAAAAAAAGAAAAGAAAAAGATGTTTCCGTCTAACTAACTGGCACAGCAACTGTTACCATTTATCCATCCCCCCCC